ATCTATCTATCTATCTATCTATCTATCTATCTATCTATCTATCTATCTATCTATCTATCATCTATCTATCTATCTGTCTATCTATAATCTATCTATCATCTATCATCTGCCTACCTACCATTACCTATCTATCTCTCTATTGTCTATCATTGATTTACCCATGGTCTTGCTATTTAACACAAATAGGTCTTCTGCCTGACTTCCTAGTCCCCTCCCTGGGATTACAGGCCTGTATTAATACACTCAGTTAACCGATATTGAGGTGCCCTTCAGTCTAATTAATTAGTTATAGGGTTTTTCTGTTATAGCTTACAGAAAATAGTGGATAGTTGATTATACAGGACATTTCTTTGGCTAAGGTTATAGTTGACACCAGCCAAATGATTTTGGTGTCTCATATCTTTGTCACTTTCATCATCATTATTAAATAAACCATATACATTGATAATTTATTATTCTAAGTCTTCATTTTGATTAATACTGTTACAGATATGTTATATTAGAAGAAAAATGAGAGGGGAACCAAATTAATTCGATGAAACAAGTATAAATAAACAAAACTGTATGAGAAACAAAATCAAATAGAAAATGTTTTGTGATGTTGAGTTTGAGTTACAAATTACATTAAAAAATTAATATTTATGTCAGACTTTTTAAATGTCAAAATGTGAAGTGTAAAATTTTGGCTATTTAAAAATTTTCTTTTGTTTCACAGGGAGCTACTTCATGCTGTCCTTGAATCTTCTCTGTATTTTTGTATTTTACAGAAAGAAGCTAGAAGTTGTTCCTATGTGCTATGGACATTAAAACTCAGAGTTGCTTTTTTCCTCTTAGCATCCTGGCCATCTTCCTTCTTTTCACACTCTGGCCAAATTGGCTGCCCTGTTCTGTTTGGGAAGACAGCTGTCTCCGAACCTCTGCTTGTAAACTGTCTCCTCACTGGGGTCTGTAGAGCTTAAGATACTGATCATGTCTGTTGGGAACACACCCCAATGTAGCTCCTTTCCTTGTGGAATAGATTTAGGAGTCTGACTTTTTCTGCCTCTTTTCTACCCTTTCAACTGAACTGCAGAAGTTGAGAATAGAAAGTGGCCCCCATCCCTACCCCACTTCTCTCCTGGGCAGGTCTTTTGTTCTTAACTCAGGAGAGAGAGACTGTTTTGGTTATTCTTTTTGTGAAATTACATTGTTGAAACTTTTGTGCTTTTGTGTAGTTAATGACAGTATAAAAGTCTTAAATGAAATTTCTTTTACTATTGTTAATGACAGTTTAAAAGTCTGAGATGAATTTACTTTTAAGGTGCTAGATCTAAAAAAAAAAATACAATAAAGCCAATTGTAATTATTCCAAGAGAGTTACCTTCAAATTACTTTTTAAACCAAACAAGACCTTCTGCTAAACAGAGAAAGTATTTCTTTAATAGCATCTCTAATAAACACATTTTTAGAAGTTCAGACACAAGAGCCTGCAGCTTCAAAAACTCAGTCTGCATGCCATTCTCATGGTCAGATCCTTTCTTCAGAAACAGTCCCAAGCTCCAAGTGCTCTGAATGTATTAGTCTATGTGTTATTTGCACCTACAAAACTCAACATTTTCCTCCTGGAGACAAGTCTATCCTCCTATCATGTGCTTTCCATATCAGCAGGCAACTGCTCTCTGGGACTGCTGTGAGCCCTGAACATTCAAAATCCTCATCAGTGTAAAGAGCTGGTGTCTTTAGAAAGAGCTAGTCAAAGTGATTAGCTTTAAAGACATTAGATACATGTGTGGAAATTAGGTGGGAAATTTCAAACTTACTTGCTTAAACATGGCATGTATTTTATGGAGATATGTGGAAACTATTCAGGTGTCTTCAAATTATATCACTTTTGTAAGATGCACAAGAAATTTAATGAGATTTGAGGGCCTGATTGTAGCTTTCAACTTTCATTTTTATATGTTTATCTTAAGTTTTGTGTGTATTATCATAAATCTTATAAAATAGGTATACAGAAACACAATTTTTCAATGAGAAAAAATACCAAGATTCTCTCCTTTAAAATCTGGAACTTACAGCTTGATTTTTATAAATGGATGTTTTACTTGCATATAATCCAAAAATTATGAAATCTATCTCCAGCTTGCTTAATGCTGTCATTTTGATATGTTCACAGGGTTGTGCAACCTCTATCACTAATTTTATAACATTTTCATTATCACCCAAAAAAAACTTTGTACCCACTAGTATTTACTCACATTGCCCTCTTATCCACCATTCAAAAACAAACTATATTGTATTTTCTACCTTCATAGACTTGTTTGCTCTGGTCATGTCATATGAGTAGAATCTTACAATATGTGTTTATTTGAATCTTCTCTCAATTAGGATAATGTTTCCAAAGTTCATCTTTATTGCAACATGTACTAAAATATCATTTTAAATGGTTGGATAATATTCCACAGTGTGGACATACCACATGTTATTTACCCATGGATATTAGGTTTATCTACCAAGTGCTTTGTGACTGTTAAGAATAATGATTCTATATGCTGTATAAAAAAATCTATATTCAATACAAAGTAAAGTCCAGATTATGGTTAAAACCTAAATGAAAAACAAAGAAGAATGCTGCTGTGAAAATTTTCAGTGGATGGGTTTTTTGGTTCTCTTGGGTATATATAGAAGCATTGAGTCATATGGTGTATTAGTGTTTTTTTCTTGGCACTGGGACAAAATAACTGACCAAAGCACCTTCAGGAAGATTCAGGGAAGGCATGCTGAAACTCATGGAGACAAGAGCTTATAGGAGGAAGTCCTCTCTTGTCTGCCAGATCAGGAGGCAGTAAGATTGGACTTGAGCCTTACGTGGGTATCACCTCCAAGGACTATCCACAGTGATCCACTGAGCTGTATAACCACAGTCCCAAGCTTCCACAACCTCCTGCGATAGCACCACAAGCTGGGGCCCAAGTATGCACAGATACTTTAAGGAACTGTAAATTGTTTCCCAAAATAGGTTGCTATTTACCTCCCTGCCACAGCAGTGAGTATCCCACCTTCCTCACATCCTCCCCAGGACTTGTTTCCATCTGTCTTTTCCCTCAAAGCTGCTGCTTTAGTGAGTGTAAGGTAGCATTTCCTCATGGTTATGAATTGAATTCCCCTGTTGACATTGTGGAGTTGTTGGAACATTGTATATGTGTTAAACACTGTACATTTGATTTTAGCATCTTGATCATATTAATTTTCTGAGTTATTCAGAGTTTTAGTCACCATTACAGATACCTGAGATGGGTTTTAAAAAGAAAAGAATTATTTTTGGCTCCTAGTTTTATGGTTTTAGTCCAAGATTGGCTGTAACCATTGCTTTATGGTGAAACTATATCAGATTTATTATTATGGAGGATGGAGGAGCACATTACAGAGGCTCTCACTATGTGGCTGCCATGACACAGAGAATGTCTGTGGTAAAGGGCTTACTTCTCTTTAATTTTATATGGTCCCCCAGCTTTTGTGTGATACTGTTTACATTCAGATCTCATACTCAGAAGTGCACTTTATTAACCTTTTAGTTATCTCTTCAAGCAAGTTGAAAACTTACTATCATAGAGACTGAGGATATGTCTCAGGGGGTCAAAATGCTTGCCCTGAGAGTATAAGGATCAGAGCTTGGATTCACGGGACCCATATAAAAGCTGGATAAATGCAGCCTTCCCACCTGTTATCCTAGAACCTCAGGGGACAGAAACAGGTGACCTTCTGGTGTATGCTAGCTAGATTAGATGAGTCAGCAAGTTTTGGATTCTTCATCAAGAGATCTTGACTCAGTAAAAAGGCAAAGAACACTGTGGTGGTAATCTAATTGTACTGAAATGTGATTTTGATTGTATGTTAATAAATAAAGTTGCCCGGGGGTCAGAGCTATTAGAGCCATAGACAGTGTGGCGGTGGTGGCACACGCCTTTAATCCCATAGATCTCTGTGTGTTCAGGGATACAGCCAGCATTGGAGACATATGCCTTTAAGACCTAGGGGGCTGTACATTCAGACAGTGACGAGGCAGACATGTGTTTGGGTTTACAACCAGTGAGAAGGCAGAACAACATACTATAAAAAAAAACGAACAGACAGGAAGTAGCTCTCTTTCGCGAAGCTGGGACAGCAGGAGGAAGGGTGAGATTTTAGCTCTGAGCTCTGACCTCTCGGCTTTCTCTTTTACATTGTTTCTGTGTTTCTTATTTAATAAGACGGTTGATTACATCAATAGAACACTAGATAAAAATACCTAATATCAACTTCTGACCTCCATATGTACATATAAATACATGCACTTGTACAGTTGTATACCCACATCCATGTGTGCCCACACATGTGGATCCACATATGCAGACATGAATATATACAGATGAACCATCACAGATAATTGTCTCCTTTAGTGCCATAAATGTAATATATTTCCTTTTCTTCTGACAAAATAATCAGTATTTCTTCATAGTAACACAAATATTTGTTGGTTGTTTCACTGTTTTTTCTATGTAACTTTCTATACCATCACATGGTTGTATATTCTGTGCTTTGTGTTTGTATGGATAGAGGGGGACCAGTGCTAGGCAGGAACTATAGAGCTGAAAGAATCCGAACCGGTTTCTTGTCACAAATGTGAATCTGGTCTATAACCTTGATGGGTTTCGGAGGCTCCCTTACCTTCTCTACATGTGTTGTTTTTTTTTTTTTTTTTTTTTTTTTTTGTTACTCTTGGTTATGACAGTATTGTCACTATCCTGAAGAGATTATGCCAATTTGCCACTTTAGAATTGTTCAAACTACAAAATGTAGCCTTTTAAATGTCATAATTATTAAACTTAGATTTGTGCAGTTTTATCAAAATTAAAAGTTATATTTATATAAAAAGCAAATGTTTCTACTCCACACATTCATCAGTAAAAGTCTGGGTCAATATATAAGGGCTTTGGATAAGTTTTCACTTTTAAGGTAATCTGGTGGTGCATTTTCTCAAGTCCTCACACAGGTATTCAGGAATATCAAGATGGTGTGCCCAAGATTCCAACAGCCTGTATCACAGTGGAAGACGCAGAAATGATGTCACGAATGGCTTCTCGTGGGAGCAAAATTGTCATTCATCTGGAGATGGGAGCAAAGACCTACCCCGATACTGATTCCTTCAACACTGTAGCGGAGATCACCGGCAGCAAGTATCCAGAGCAAGTGAGTGAAGGAGGAGGACATGGTTTCTGGCAGAGGACATTCTGGTCAGGCGGCCATTTTTAGAATAGTTAGAAAGAGAGAACATGAATCTATTGAGATGGTCCTCATAGACTCATTAAAACCTGAAGCTTCATATATTTTCCCCCATTAAAATGTTCACCACACTAACGAATAGAAGACAAATTCAAGGGCAGAATAGGACCCATAGTGTGGAAAGTCAGTCTGAACAGAAGAGAAATTTGTATGTATCCCTTTAGAGCTAGAAATCATGCCAACAATTGACACTGTGTTAATTTTATAAATATTTTAAAAACCATTTCAAAGTACAATAATATAGAATCTAGTTTTTTCATTATGAATCAAGGAAACTAACTTATATAGAAACCCGCTTGTCTAGGTCTGCACACAGCTACAATGTGTCTGGCAAAGGACTCAAGCTCAGAGAAATACAAATTCTAACCAAGCTTTAGTCTACAGTTCAAGTGAGGATACCAGATTCCATGTATATTTCAAATGATTTTAGAAGCAGATCTATGCTAGTCAAATGCTAAATAATGGGCTATTTAGTTTCTGGGCTTTAGAGAACTTATCTCCAAAGAAACTGTCATGTCACTGATCTTTATAAAGATATGTCACTAGCAGAATTAGTGTAAGAAATAGATGAGATGGTATCCACCAGATAGCTTGTATGTGTTGGGCTCATCATAGGCATCCACTGAATTTTTTTTTTTTTTGGTTTTTCGAGACAGGGTTTCTCTG